GTAGAGCTGTGGCATTACCGCCCCAGTAAAGAAGCCTATGTGTTACCAGGAAGAGGAAGCAGTGAAGCCCCCGTCAGCCGTGAACTTGGTTAATTCATGGAATAGAAACCAGCCACTGGGTGGGGGGCTGGGGGGGCAGCCGAGCAAGGTGGGCTCAGGGACAGTCAGGGGACAGCAAGAAAAGGCACCTTCATCCAAGGCCTGGAGGAGGTGGGGGGCCTGCCCTCCCGGCCAGGCTGGAGGACCCCCAACAGAGTTCAAGTTCAGGGACAAATTCCCTTCACAGACTGGACTGGGCCCCTCCCTCTGAGGCTCCCCCTCGGCTGCAGGAGTCCCGGGACCTAATAATACACACAAATCAGAGCGCGGGCTGCAGGCCCTGGCCATGCAAGGAGAAGGGGAAAGCTGACGCCAGCCCGGCCTGTCCCCACCGGCCTTGCCCTAAAGCAGCAGGGCGCCCGGCCTTGGAGCGAGGCCGCCCCCCTCGCTGTGCCAGCGGCACCCTATATCGAGAGAATGAGCGCGCTGGGGGGAATGGCAGGCATGCGGCCCAGCTGTCACTGTGAGCCCGGCCCAGGAAGGCCACTCTCTCCGCACACCCCCCTTTCTGCCCCAGGCTGCGGTCCAGACCCAGCTCCTGGGGCTCACAGCCTAGATGGTACCCGTGAAATGAAAAACCAGGTGCATAGAGCCATGGGAGGCCACTTAGAAGAGAGAAAAGCGAAAACCTGCTACGGGAGGTGGTGGCTTTTGAGCTGACTGCCTGGGGGGGACCTGGGCCGGCCGTGACCCCTTGGCCTTTCGCCCAGGAAGGAGCCTGAGCCCCGTGTTTCCAGGCTGGCCCGCCGTCGGCACCGCCACACCCGGCCCCGGGCAGCCCCTCCAGAGAAATGACATGCTAGGCATGCAGGCTTCTTAGCGCAGCAGCAGCCTGAGACATCGCATGCACGTTTCAGCCTTGTTTTTCAAACCTCCAAAATAGGAAAACCAGCTTTTTTCCAGGAGCCGGCTACTCCTCAGGGGAAGGAAGGCCGTCTGGCCCCAGCTCAGTGGGCAGAGACTCACTGCTGGGCCAGCAGCTCCCAGCGAGCCAGCCCTGGGGGAGGAACGACGCGGCTCTGGGGTCCCCTTGGGGGTGGGCGAGGCGAGACCCAGGCCAGGCCCTGCGGACCCTGGGAGAGTGTCCCAGCAGTCTCAGGCCAGGCCGCCTCGCCCTGGGGCCGCACCTGGCTGGCTGCCGGGGGCCGTGGAAGGAGCCCGCAGGCTTCCAGGAGCTGGGCCGCTGGAAAGCAAGGAAGGCAGGAGGGGCGGGGCACAGTGCCGAGCCAGGGGCCCCAGGCACTGAGAGGCCCCCGGGAGGATGGGGCTAGGCTCCAGCTACAGTGCTCGGAGAGTCGGGGGCCGGGTGGGGGGGCAGGGCGGAGAGGATGCCTGTGCTCTGAGCCTGGCTGGCCCCATGCGCGTCCCTGGCAGGGTCTGGGTGCCCTTTTTCGTCCCTCAGGGCCCACCGCAGCCGCTCTTGGCTTTAAAGTTTGGGTTTCAAGCCGTGCTTGCTTGCCCAAGGAGGAAGGGGAAAAACCATGACGGCCACTGGTCCGTGTCCCTCTGTTTCCTTCTAGGGTCAGGCGGAGCGTGTGAAGGCGAGGACAGCTGCCTGCCCCGGAGTCCCCAGGAACGCGAGGCTGTGCCAGTGGCCAGGCGCCTGCTCCCGCGGGCGTGACCCTCGGGGCGCTCAGAGCTGCTCGGGGTCAGGGTCAGCCTGTCCAGGCGCAGCCTCCATGCGCGCGGGCAGGCCCGGGCACGGCCACTGAGCTCCTGCTCTGAACATCGGAGGAGAGACGCATGCTTCCCCTCTGCCAGGCCCAGGAGCCGGGGGAGGACGGCAGGACCGGCGTCCGCCCCCAGGCACAGTGGCTCTAGTGTCCACCCCTCGGCATGGTGACTAGGGTTGCTGCTCCCAGCCCACCCAGGTCCTCCCAGCAGGAGAAAACCTCACCCCCTCTTCTGAGGGCCTGTAAGTCACCAGGATTGACACAGCGATAGTCTGTGATTTGATGCAAACAAGTCAATTTCAGGAGCCGGGTCTCAAACAGCAGCTCTGATTCAGATGCACCAAATACCCAAGTGGTTGCAAGTGCGGAACCTCAGAGGAGCAAGTCACCTGGGGTATGAGCCAAGATGTTTTCTTTTCCTAGGTGTGGGCTCAGCCCCAGAGGGGCCCAAAGACACATGGCCTTTGATCCCTGCCCATGATCAGAAAGGCCTGCGTACCCCTCACAGACCAAGGAAAGAGCGACTGTAACTCTCCAGGAGGCACTGGGGAGGGGGGCGGGGCAGAGCTCTTCTCAACATACAGCAAGAGGAAGAACTGAGCCTACAGGCCCCGTCTCAGCACAGCTAGTGTCTGCTCGGGTGGCTGAAACCCTCCACCCCTGCAGGGCTGGACCCCTCTCCCCTCTCGCTGAAGGAGGAGGGGAAAAGACAGACAGTTTGCAGAAGGCGAGGTGTCTGGGCTCGCGGGGAGGCAGCTCCGCCACCTGACCCCCGTCCCAGGCTCCTGAACTGGTTTCCGATCATCTGTTACCCGCCCCCTCCGTGGTAGCAGCAGCCTTCCCGCTGTCTGCTGGGGGCTCACTATGCCGGGTGTCACACTGAAGTGCCTATTAGCACAGCTTCCAGCCCCTCCTGCAGCTGCCGCCGCTTGGTGCCAAAGCCAGGCTGTTGTTCTGGTTGAGTTTACTCTTGTTCGGGGGCTGGCAACGCTTCACACCCTGTGCAGCAGCCACTTAAAGTTCCTGCTTATGAAAAAGGCGAAAATCTCCTCATAAGAGAGAGGGATCGCTTCATAATTCCTGCTTAGACCACGACATCATTCCCCTGGTCCTCATTCTGCCGCCAGATTCCCCTCCACCACTGGGACGCTTATTTAACTCACCAGATATGAGCAGGCGCTGATATAAAAATAGAGGCAGGCGGTGGGAGCTGGCACCTGACTCACCGTGTGGCAGGCGGCAGGGCTGGGCAGACAGCTGCGGCCTTCTCCTCTCCCCCTCCCCCATCCCTCCCCTCCCCCTCTTCTATCCCTCCCCTCCCTCCCCCTCCCCCTTCTATCCCTTCCCCTCCTCCCCTCCATCCTTCCCCTCTCCCTCCTCATCCTTCCTCCTCCCCTTCCTTCCCCCTACCCCTCTTCTATCCCTCTCCCTCCTCCCCTCCACCCCTCCCCCTTATCCCCCATCCCTCCCCCTCCCCCTCCTCTGCCCCCACCAGTCCCCTCAGAGCAGACACTGGATAAAGCAGTGCTATTTGAGGCAAGTTTCTTCAAGGCTCATTTATCATTTACGATTTCCCTGCTTCAGGGCCTGATCTGGGAGGAAAACAGCACAAACTCTCATTCCCCTGTGGTCGTTAAGGACTTTCTGCAGAGAGCATTCTAGCTCCCTGCCAGCTCATGGCGGGAACGGGCTGAGAGGAGGCGAAAAGGCTGCAGCCCACGTCTGGCTCCCACTGCAGGGCCCAGGCTGCGCCCCTCCCAGAGCCAGGACTGCTTTGCACCCCCCTCCGCCTGGGACCGCCGGTCTGCCTGTCCCCACACCAGCCACAGCTCACAAGCTCTGGGCGCCCTTGTTTCAGGGACCATCTGAAGGTGAGTCAGAGACCCGAGTCCTCCCTCTTGCCCCAGCAATGCTGGTTCTCGCTCTCTCTGCTTAAAACAGTCCCATGGCTTTCCATCACTCTTAGAATCAAGGGAAAATGTAGGCTCAGCTGTGAAGGGTCTTCAGGCTGGTCTGCCTCCCCCTGCATCTTCACTCGACACCGCCCTACCCCACCCTCACTCCCCCAGTCCCACCCACCTCTCTGCAGGGTGTGAACCTCCAGCCCACCTGGCCTGGCAGGAGCGGCTCCCTCCCCACTTCACCTGCTCACTCAATGCGCTTGCTCACGGAACTCCTCTCCTGACCCTTGGCTTCCTCTATATCGCCGTCACACCCCACGCCTCTCCTGTAACGCATGCTAAGCGTACAGACTAACATTGATTCACATGGTTATTGGATGAATTCTGTCTCCCGCCCTGCATTGTAGGCTCCCTGAGGCTGAGACCTGGACTCTCTGGTTCACCTTTTGTTTTAGCAAATTGTTGGACGGCTGCAGGGTGTGCCAATGAGCAGGGCAAGAGTGGAGTGACAGAGCCCCAGATGCTTTTGGAAACTGAGCTAGAGAAGAACCCAGACTAGATTTTGGATGTCTTGACCCCTCCACCTGAGGGAAGGACAGCCCCACACCTGTGTCCTTGGATAAACAGGAAGATGGGTGAAGAAAAAGGACACTTGCCTGGCTGTGAACCATGACCTTATGTTCTGCTGTGGCCAGGAACAAATCTGTTTTCCTCACTGTGTCTGGATTGCCCTTTTGGGAAAAAATGACCACCCAGTGCAGGGCTGGGACAGGGGTGTAGCAAGTGAGGTGCCCAGGGAGGAGAGACTTGAGGAAGTGCCCACCGTGGACGGCCACCCTGTCCCTGCAGACCCCCGTGCTTCTCCCACGTCAGCGAGAGACTCCCTGTAATTTCAGAGGTGCTGAGATCCCCAGCTTTCAAATTCCAGGCCTCCATTTCCAGCGCTGCGTAGGAAGAAATAAATTCACAGTTCCTCCCAAGGGATGCAGGTCCTGCCTGGGCATCCCTGGTGATGCTAGCATGCCTGCCGGCTGTGGCCCCTGCACCCAGCCCTAGAGGCCTGAAATAAACATCAGAGGAAAACCTGGGTTCCAGAGAACCTTCCAGAGACAGATGCGAGGGGCACTAGGCACCCTTTGTAAGCATTTATTGGAGAAGTTTAATTGCAGTCGAATTATTCCACTCACTAGTGCCTCTCAG